GTAAACAAGTAAAACATACTGGCTATAAAATAAGTGGTCACATTTAAGTATCTTAAGTCTAACATAGTGTTCACTGACGTGATCCCTATGGTCAATGTTATATGCATATCGAAGACAGGAGTTTTGGAGTTTTTGAATATAACACTGAGTTGCTTTCGTTGCAAATGTAAAATAAACACTACTACAATAATTACAAGGACTTAGGATAAGACTAGTACATAACTTCCATTTAACATCACCCGACAAAAATGTTTTAAAATTGTAGATTTACTTAAACTTAAAATAGGCATTTCTTAAAATACTTTTTACATGGGATTCAAAACTTAAATCACAGTCTATTAAAACACCTAGGTTTTTAACGCAGTTTTGAAATTGTATCACAGAGTTATTAACATAAATATCACAAGTTTTAAGCGCTAAAGCTTTCATTCGAGCATTTTTAGAGCCAATGCAAATGCTGACAGTCTTGTTTTGGTTGAGTAGCAGACCATTTTTGGTAGACCACATACTTATTTGCTGAAGATCTTCATTTAATTGTAGGACTGCAGAGTTAATAGCAGCTGGAGTAGTTGATTTATAGATTTGTGTATCATCTGCATACTGATGTGCTTCACTATATTTTACCACTTCACATAAGTCAGCAGTAAAAATTGAGAAAAGTAAGGGACCCAGTATGCTTCCCTGCGGAACTCCTTTAGACAATGATCGACGAGTTGACACATTACCATTTATTTCAACATACTGGACTCTGTTCTTGAGATAATCACAAAACCAGTTTATCACCATTGCATCAAAATTGTAATAATGAAGTTTAGCCAAAAGCAAATTATGATTAACTACATCAAAAGCCTTGCTGTAGTCAAGTAGCACCAATAGAGTAATCTCAGAATTATCTATGGCCCTGACAAAGTCATTTGTGATTTTTAGTAGCGCTGTGTTAGTACTATGTAATTTGCGAAAACCAGATTGATTTAAGGGTAGGATATATTTATTGGCATGTTGCACAGTTTGTTCGTGGACAATTTTTTCTAATATTTTTGACGCAATGGGAAGAATGCTGATTGGTCTGAGATCAGTGGGTCCTTCTGGCTTGGAATGGAAAACCTTACTTAACAACTATCACTATGGACTCAGATAATACAAAAAATATAACATGTCAAATATATTTTTTTTAATCGTAATCGTGATTTGTAGCACATTCTTATTGGCAACATTTGACTCGTAAGCAACACAACTATACACACAAATCTGGCATTTAACAAAAAAAATTATTCACAATTTTTATGTTCATAAATATTAAATGTACAATTAGATATAATTTGAAATGAAATTCCATTTTTACTTTTTGGAAAATTCGTTTAATGAAACATCCATGATAGTTGAACTTGATGAGGATAAGTGCTGCCAAGAGATCCTTTGAAGCTTTCTGTTGATTGGAGCCTCTAAAAATTTTCTTCGGTGTTTGAATTTTATTTTGAATGCTTTCTCCTATATAACCCTCAGCAGAAGATGTTGAAGACCATCACCCCAGTCTTTTTAAATCAGGGATACTGCCCCCATTATCAACCAACAACCTGCACTTCTTCTCATACAATGCCCTGTGTAGCTATTGGAATCAGTAAGCTTCAAATATTCAGTAATTTTTATCGGCAAACTATAATATGTGTTGATCCCCACCGATTGCACAGTGCATTTACCATTCCAATAACAAACGAAAAATCTGGAATGATTCGTGTTTTGTGGCCTTAATTTACGATACTTCCGATACAACTCAATTCCGTTCGCTTCCGAAGTTATGATAAAAACTCGCTTCTTTTTCGTTTTTGTATTACGTAGTGTTACGATAATAACTGATTCATTCTCTTCTATATCGTTTATTGTTAGTGTTCGTAATTCTTTCCCTTGCATTGCTCCATTTAAAGCAAAAATTAATGCCACTTTCATAAATAGATACGATTCATTCGAAGCGTCATTTAGAAACTTCATAATTTGTTCAATTGACTTAGTAGGTTCATATTCTTCATTCTGTTTTTTCAAAAATGCAATTAATTGCTTGTAGTTTGAAATGTCACTGACTTCATATATTTGTAACGTACTCTTCAGCATCGAATATGTTGACCACAGTGACGATTCCTTGAATTTTTTTCTCCCTTGGCAGAATTGTTCAAAAGTTTTATCATATTTTTCTTTTAACTTAGATGGAAGCAGATTTTGAGTCGCTTCTCTAGTGGCTTCCAAAATACCCTCATTTTCTTCAAAAACACTCATCTGTTTTTATTTAATTTGTTGTCATGCGTTGCTACGGTTTACTTTACATAAACAACTATGTCAAAGATTGTAAAAAAAACAATTTTAGTTGATAAACATGATAAACATTATAAATTCCCTGCCTAACAACGGGAATAATGAACTCATTATTCACGTTGCTATGCATCAGTAATTGGCCGATTTCAATATTCACTGTGATTTGAACAAATCGGGAGAAGACGACTATAATAACATTTAAAATTGTTAACAGTAAGGTTAACCATTTAACAGATGTCACAATTTATTTATTTATTTATGAAAATCATTTAATTATCTACTTAATGGATTAGATAAAATATAGTATTACACTCGAGATTATCTCTCGTATAATAATATACTATTATCAAACAACTTCTTCAGGTTACTTATAGCTTAGAATTACATATTATTAAAAATGTGACTGCAAGAAACTGATAATCCTAAATAATGGTTTAAGTTTAATTGGGTCGAATATAGGATAATTACTGTATTTCGTGTTGTGTCGTCTACAAACATTACAATATACATAATTACACTACCCAACAAAGAGATACAATTAAAACTACCCAGTGCCGGCCTTAGCATGCAAGGCACCCAGGCGTGAATTTTGCAGGTAGGTAGGTTCTCCTACAAACGTGTTAATAAAATATTAATATATTAAATATTAATATAGTAACGGGCTGAAGTTAGTTGAGACTTGTCAAATGTCATACAATCGTAAAATATTACTAAATGTGAAAATTATTTTATTATCTCAATACAACAATTCAAAAGTATTAAATAGTTTCTTGACGCCAATATTTGAAAAGATTATATGAACGTTTGTATTGACCTTTTGATTTCGCCGTAGAAGTGCAGTCAACTGGATTTAACTGATAGAGCGTTAAAAAATTTGTGCACAGTGCCCATAAAATATTCTCTTCTCTTTTACTGTGAAAAACTGCTTCTACGAGGTGTGTTCAGAAAATATCGGGAATTTTCGTTTTTTGAAACAAATGTTTATTTATTTGTCTACATTAATGTTGTCGCCTTCAAAATAGTCCCCATTGGATATTATGCACATGTGCCAGCTCTTCTTCCAATACTCGAAACACTTCTAAAACTTGATCTTTGGGATAGCCTTTAGTTCTTTCAGCAATGCGCTTTTAATGTCATCTATTCTTGCAAATCTACGGCCCTTTAAGGTTCTCTTTATTTTTGGGAATAGGAAAAAGTCAGACAGAGGCATGTCTGGCGAATATGGAGGCTGGGGCATCATTACAGTATTGTTTTTGGACAAAAATTTTGTTCAAAATTTAACAATTTTGGAACAAATTTTGCTGCCACGCGTTTCATACCCAAAACATTCGAAAAAATTTCATGGGATGAGCCAATCGATACACCAACATCATCAGCGACTTCTCTGATGTGCTTGTGCGTTCGGGGCGTTCGTCATCTTCAACGTCTTCACGGCCATCTTGGAAACTCTTATACCATTTGTAAACTCTTGTTTTACTTATAGCAGATTCACTATAGTCCTTTGTTAACATTTCACAGAATTTATTTAATTTTTTAAGCAAAATTGGATACAAATTCTTTGATCCATTTCTTTTAACGAACGAAAAATCGCCGAGCTCATAAATCACGTCTATCCTTAGCGGCTGCCACAGACAAAGTAAACAATGAAAACAGCTAAAGCTTTTATCATACTTTGGGGGCATGTATACCAACATAATAAAGAAAATTTTATGACAACCGGACCCTCCGAACCAGCGAAATTTAACAATTGCCGTTATTTTCTGAACACACCTCGTATTATAGCCAAATTTTCGATAGTAAAACACTTTGTTCAAAACGAAAAATATCATTACATTTTTTATTGAAATCTGCTTTATTTTATTCATGAAATAATATTCTCAAGAAATTCAACTCGTGAATAAATTGGTTTTCTAAATTTGACAGATTTCGTCATACAAATTGTACATTGGCATTCGTTTGAATAAATTTACTTTATGTGCCTACTTATTTTCAAAGCATTTTTTTTATTTTATTTATGTATTTTTGTATTTATTAAAGATGTAATTTGATATTTTTAAAGCTTTAAGGTTTTATTACTCCGTTTAATATCTTCTATTTGTTTACATCCTTTACCTAAATCCCTAAAATTACCGATATATGAAACTTCAGGTTTTATTAAAGCGTAACGCCCTCTATATGAAGGGAAACAGCCACAAGTATTGATTTCTTTATGTAGGATAAAAACACTGTCTGCTCTAAAAAGATGTCGCCATTTAATAATTTAGGGAATTATCCTTTTTGCTCTATATATCTAAGCAACCATGATGCCTTCTTAATCTTAAAGGATTATAGTTTGTAAATGATTAAGAAATTTTAATTGCAGTTTCTAAACTTTGTATCAAACTTTTAACTACTTATAAATAGTTTTATTTTCAAGTGGGCGGTATAATTTGATTTTAAAAACATTTATTTTTGAGTAGGTATACTTGTATTAAGAAAATTGTGTTTTATTAGGAAACGTTTGGTGCTGCTCTCTATGAAGGAACACAAATTCAGGTTTTTATTGATTTTTAGGAAGTTGATAACTGCTTATAGAATAAAACGGCATCTTTGAATATAAATCATAACTAAAAATACAATATTTTATAACTTAAAAGTAGATGTACAACTTAAGTCCAAAATAATAATAAAAATAAGTATAACAATAATAATAATATATTTATACAGGCAAATAATAAAATGTCATGATTATAGGTACAATATAATCTTACATAATACAATAGGTTGCATCTGAAACAAATAAAAAACGATAAAATTAAAATTATTAATAAATTTTTTGACAAATCAATCCCACAGGAATATTCTCAGGATTATTCCAAGCTTACCAGAATATTCCCAGGAATATTCCTGGAGTAATCAAATGTCCGCTTTTTGGTTAACCCAGTCATCATAAAAAGAGTGGACCTCAATATAATTTGGGGATGACTCCTACCGCTTCTCCAACTGATATTATTAACCTATCGGTATATATAGTTATCAAGCGTGCGTAAGCAACGGTGAGAGTTATTGCAACTAAACTATAGTTATAATGTATATTTACTGGGAATGTTCTTAGATGGTGTTTGGAAGCTTTGGAGGATCATTCTATGGAATATTCTATGGGATATTCAAAATAAATATTCCTAGAATAAAGCGGATTATTCCTAGATTATAGGGCATATTCCTGGAATATAACCAAATTAATTTGTAGTCAGGGAAAATTATTTGTTTTTTGAATATAAAGAACATTCACTGGGAATGTTCTAAGATGTTGCTTGGAAGTTGTAGAGGATCATTCTATGAAATATTCCCAATGAATATTCACTGGTAATTTTCTTAGATAGTGCTTGTAAATATTTATTAGAGAATCATTATATGGAATATTCCCAATGAATATTCCTAGAATGAAGCGGATTATTCCTAGATGATAGGGCATATTTCTGGAATATTTTCGAACCTTCTTTGCAGTCTGGGAATCCACACAACAAGGTATGTTTTATCTCGTTTCGCGCATACCAAAAATCACCTTAGGCAACCCACTTCGCAGACTTTAACGGCGGTCATTTGTGCTGTTTATACAGATTTAAAATCGTTTTAAACGTTATGTTTCTTACAGAGGCACCTGTAAGCTTCAAATGAGGCCTTAAAGCGCAAAGGACAACCATTTTACTCCTCTCTTGTAAAAAATAAACCTTATTCTATCAGGGCTGTCATCAAATTTTGTTCGCAGAGTTTCAATTGCACAGCTAAATCGCGCACGTGTTTTGTGTTTTGCGTTGCAAGTAAAAAGTGAAAATTTTGGTTTAGTACTTGATTTTGATTTATTATTCCTTATATTATTGATTAAGAAACTCAACGCTTATATACTTATATAGTTACATTAGTTTATCTATATTTAAGTGATCATGGTGAATTATTTTGTTTTTAATTTAAGAACTAAATTGTTGCATTCTCAGGTTTTGCCAAAGAATTCAATTCTGTAAGTATATTTGTAACTTTACCTAATATAATTCATATTTACGTTTGGACAATTTTAATAAATCTAACAAAAAATAATTGTTGTGCATACATAACCTTAAAATCAAACATTTGAGTCCTCTAAAAAATCGCCGACAAGTGCAATTTAAAATAATAAACCACTAAATATATCTACGAATTCATGACAACATAATATTATATATAATACCGGTTTTTTGTTTTTTACCGTTGAGTTGAGACTTTCTCAAATAACGCTTTTAATAATGCATCATGCTGGTGAATTTAGTTTAGTTTATTTGCTGAATTTAAATGTTTAAAATTTTTACGTAAATCATTACTGAAATATTCGGATTTCCACTGTATATTAGGAAAGTTGTAGTATGCTTACGATAACATAATATTTTGTTAATATGCAAAGCAAATGGTAAAACAATGAAATTTTTTAGTTTTCTTATATTTTTAGACATCATACAAACCTCTGGTGGTTGATGTAATCCAATCCAAAAAATTAGTGACTCTTGTATTAACCCCTGGGCGTGCAGTGGCGCACCCCAATCCGAACGATATGATACCGACCAATTTATATCTGTTTGTTCCTGGATCCACCCACACCAAAGGGCCCCCAGAGTCTCCTTGACACGCATCCTTGCCGGCTGAATACGTGCAAAGTTGCGATGGTTGTAGAGTTGAATAGGACTGCTTACATTTTGTATTATCAATTATGGTAAGGGAGGTTTTTTGCAGTATTTCGGATTTTGGCCCAGAAAATTCAGTCGAACCCCAACCTTAAATAGTTTAAGATTTTATCATTTGTTGTATGTTGAATAGGGTGATTCATTTCCGCAAAGTTTTTGTTTTTTTTCGGTGCTCAAGCAAAATATTAATCTGCATATAGGAAAAAACATTCTCACCAAGTTTGAGCTCTTAATATTAATTTTAAGCACTTACTATTTAAATTTAAAGTTTTACCGTTTAAAATGCATGTAAAAAATATTTTTTTTTTTTCAAATTTCTAATGCTTACCCACCTTTGACAATATTGCAAATCGGTTTAATACACCTTATGGGGAATTTCACGCTCTTTAAAATTGCTTTTGAGTGTTTTTTTGTAACTCGCATTGGTTCACCAGTAGGAGTCGTCAAAGGACAGTTTTTGAAAAAAATCGTTTTTTTTTTTATTTTTTCGAGCAAATCGCCAAAATTAGTGAGAAAAAAGGGCTGATTCATAAAAGAAAAGTTATCTAACCAATATTGAATGAATTTACTGCCATTTTTATAACTGAAAACGTAAGAAATTGATAAATACCAACCCATAATGCTATTTAGATTGATTTTTTCTATTTATTATCATTATATTTCCCTACACTAAGAACTTTTTTAAAATGATTATGATTTCTCACTCATAATGAATATGAAAACAACACATAAATTCATAAAAAAACAACAAAACTTTAATCGGAATATACAGAAGGTTATGTAACATATTTCAAATTTCGCTTCAAAAAATTAAATAATCTTCATTTATATTTTTTTGCTATATGACAGAAATGTTGAAAAATTGCAAAATCCACGTTACAATTTTCTTATTGTTTTTTTATGAATTTATCTGTTGTTTTCATATTCATTATAAGTGAGAAATCAATAATTTTAAAAAACTTCTTAGTGTAGGGAAATATAATGATAATAAAAAATCAATCTAAATAACATTATGAGTTGGTAATTATCAATTTCTTACGTTTTCAGTTATAAAAATGGCTGTAAATTCATTAAATATTGGTTGGATAACTTTTTTTATGATTCAGCCCTTTTTTCTCCCTACTTTTTGCGGTTTGTTAGAAAAAATTAAAAAAAAAAACGATTTTTTTCAAAAACTGTCCTTTGACGACTCCTACTGGTGAACCAATGCGAGTTACAAAAAAAACTCAAAAGCAATTTTAAAGAGCGTGAAATTCCCCATAAGGTGTATAAGGTGTATTAAACCGATTTGCAATATTGTCAAAGGTGGGTAAGCATTAGAAATTTGAAAAAAAATATATATTTTTTACATGCATTTTAAACGGTAAAACTTTAAATTTAAATAGTAAGTACTTAAAATTTATATTAAGAGCTCAAACTTGTTGAGAATTTTTTTTTCTATATGCAGATTAATATTTTGCTTGAGCACCGAAGAAAACAAAAACTTTGCGGAAATGAATCACCCTAATGTTGAACTTATTTGTTCTATACCCAAAGCTGTAACATTGACATTATTAAATGTAGTTGAGGTTTGCTTGAAGGGCAAACAAATGGCGTTCACATATGCATTAAACGCCATAGTCCTATCGGTTTGCACTATAGCAATATCGTTGTCATATGTGGTAGGGTTGTAGTTCCTATTCACCAAAAAAGAACTGACTGGATATAAAGCGGAAGCGGTTGTGTCGCTTCCTGTACTAATATCATGATCACCAACCAACACCCCCAAATTTTTGGCGAGTTTTTGATAAACACAGTGTCCAGCTGTTAAAACGTATCTGTCAGATATAATGGTTGCCCCACAGGTTACAGTTTCGTCCACCAAGTTTATTATGGCTGCCATAAATGGAAATTCGTTTACTCTTGCGAATTGGCCACCAACAATCCTGGTCTGAAACGTATTGTAAATTTATTTTGGTCTGCATTTAATAATACATTTCTAACTCTAGATCTGCCACCGCAGCTGCAAGAAGCTGATCTAGAGGAAGTAGTAGCATCTGTGGAAATGCCTGTGGAATGAGTGCTGCACATAAATCTTCCTCCTTTGCTGTTACTTGCTATCCCTAATTCTAAAAAAATGTCATCATTCTTCATTCATTTATTACACTATGATAGTTCGAATTACCTAATTTTGGGCTGCTGATTTCAAAAATGTCACTCGTTTTGCTCCAGGACGTCTAGGATTCGAAATAATTGCGTGATAAAATGCTCTGCTCAATTATCTCCAAATGTAAGTTTCGTCATTTTTTGAAATTTTTGTCGTTTTTTTAATTAAATTAAAAAGGCCACAAAGTAAATGGGTTTTGGTATAAACATTACTCTTCGACTAGTATTTGATATTTTTTTATTCATGCCCAAAGTACCTAAAAATTCAATCTCCAATCTTATTTATTAAGTCTTATCAAAATTTAATATCGAATTGAAGTATAAAGGCGCGTTTACCTACTTTATCGTTCAAGCACATTAAAGTGCATCTATTAATTTTTGACATTTAAAATTTAAACTTTAAATTGTATTTTTACTTAAAAGTGATATTAAGAACCAAAAATGAAAAAAGATGCAGGAAATGGAAGTGGTAATGGAAGTGGCAGAGAAAGAGAAAGGAGACGAACCTTTATGTCGTCGTTGTAAATTGGTTTGTTTTTTGTTGCGGTACCTTTACGCCCAAGAAAAACCAACGCAATATTTCATGAGATATACCTACTACTTTAATTTTGCAGGAATATTAAATGGACCTTATATACGACGTTTAATGAAAATTTTGAATGCTTGTTCTTTCATTAAACGTCGTATATAAGGTCCATTTAATATTCCTCAATTTGAGAGCATTTTTGAATTTCAAAAATGCTCTCAAAATTGACGAGCTTGTCGCATATGGCAGTGTTAAAGCTGTCATTGAAAATGATCTTGGTTCATATCGGGCCTAAAATTGGCGCATATTCATTGAAAATATGCTTTCCGTTTTGCAAAAAAATAATATGTCATTTAAAATACATTTTCTTTTTTTTTCATCCTGATAAATTTGCCGAACTGATGAACATGGATAACGATTTTACCAAGTAACTGCAAATCTAGAGCATTGGTAGATATCTATGGGTATAGCGGAAAGAAGTTGGATTCATTGCTAGGAGACATTTGCTGGAATTTGCAGCAAAATATGTACGACGATGATGAGGATTAAGCACAATAATACCATAATCCAATTTGATATTTGATACGATTTAATAAATTTAAGGTAGAAAAAAGCAAAATTATGCTATGCATTAAATTTTGTGAGCTTAATTTGGATAAAAAATACCGAAACTTGTTTACTTTGTTTCCCTTTCAATTCAATAATTAAAATAAACGACAAAAAATATCAAATAACGGTTGTTTTTTTACTTAAAATACATTAATATTTTAATTTTAGTATTTAAAATGTCATTTTGTTAAGATAAATATGATCTATTTGCCATATACCAATTACTTCAGTACATTCAATATAAATTTAAATAAAAATAATTTATATTTTTAAAATCAGCGGCCCAAAATTAGTTAAACTAAGCTGAAGTACTCAATGTTAGGAAAAAAAGTTTCTAAAACTATCATAATATTTCATTTACATGATAAAAATAACAAATAAAAAAGTTTCTAAAAGGTATCTAAAATTTATAATCTTTGCACAGATTACAATTCAAAACCCTGAATAAGTACCTAATACAATTGTACAAGTGTTTGACATTCGATTTAATTTGTTTGTTATGGTAGGCATTAATTAAAACAAAAAACCATAAAATTTCCCTTAAATGCATGATATTTATTTTTGGAATCATCCCAAAACTTTTAATATATCTACTATTAAAAATTGCTCAATTAATAATTATTAAAAGTAGGTCTTACCCGTCATCATTGAATTACTATTTGTAGTAAGTTGAAGGGTTCCTGTTCCACAATACCTATGAGCATCAGCCCATGAACCAGTTAATGATATTTTAAGATGATCCTGGGTACAATTTAAAGACTAAAAATAAATATTTAAATTAATACAAACAACGGTACCGTATTCCAGGTTGATGGTAATACAAAAATGAACTAATACTTTAAATCGAAAATTTACGAATGGAACGATCGATGTCATCCATAGCCAATCAGTACTAAAGGCGATAGATGCATAAAAGTAAGATCAAAACTAGTTTGGGACTGGTAACAAATAAAAATTAGGCAGTCAAAACACAAAAACAGTAAGAGCTTGGAACTGGCGGACGAGGTCAGGTATTGTCAGGAGGAGGACAAGCACCACTACACTACACTTGCAAGGCAAGGTTTTGTGAGGAATGAGTTAAAGCCAGATGACCAAGTGACTACCAACATCAGGGAAACACTCTTTAAGCCCTGGACGCAGTGGTATGAAAGATACAGAAACGGCAATAGCCCTTTTGCTTGGTGGCCACCTCAACATAATTCAATCCATTCCTAAAAACAAATAAATTCAATCTTACCTGAGGTATCTCCAAATTACAAACCAACATTATTTTAGTACCAGGTGGGCTACTAGCAGTCCAGGTACATGAAGACGAAGGCTTGTAGCTATTAGGATATTCCATATTATATAAATAATATTGTTTATTTGGTTCCATATTTTGATAATAGCTACAACCTTTTATTAATGGTATGCCATATATCAGTATCCAAATATGTTTTAGAAACACCATTATCTAAATAATACTTAGAAATATTATTGTTTTGTTACGGGGTGTTGCAAAAAACATTGTAAAATTTAGTTTTAGATATAAAATAAATCGTAAACATACAAAAATATATTTTTACATTAGGAATCATCTTCTACTGTAACAGTTTATAAGATGTAAGAATTATATTTTCTACTTATCTATTATTGATACATAACACCTTGCAAATTAAAGAAGTAAACATATCTATAACAACCGTAGGGCGTTATAGACGAGCCTTATCATAATGTCCGCTTATAATGCCCGCAAATTTAATTCCACAAAACATCATACCATATGCAGCCAAAGCTGCAGAATATTTGTTGATTTTAATCACTATAAAACTAAGCTTTATTTCCAAAATAAAAATTACAATTCTTAAATTTTACAAAAATATTGCCGAACCAACAACAGAATGATCCGCCCCTCTGATGACGCTCCTCTGTGCTTCGCTAACGCTCAAAAGTGAAGATTCTTCCCTTATTTGCTCATTTTGATATTAAAGAATTATTGTCTTCTACCTTTTCTATCGAAGTTACAGAATTGGTAATCATGAGCAATCTTGTTTTCTGAGGAAATACTTTCCTCTATGTATCCCTCCGATAAGGTCGAACTTTTCCACTTTCCATGGATTTTTAACGTTTCAAAAGTAGCACCTTTGCATTATCTACTTTGCTATAATTGCAGGTACACTTCCTATCGTATTTTTACCAACCAGCTGAGCTATGCAGCGACTGTTTGTGTATGTAAGAAAAAATCTTCGCTACTTTATACATGTCGGTCTTAATGTTACGTACTGTCCAACTATATTTAAGGCACCTATGTTTTCTTCTTTAAAAATGGTAAAGCTTTTTGATCTTAATTTTAGTTTCTGGTATCTTAACAAGTAAAACAGACCCTTTATCTTCGATATCGTCAATCATGATTTTAACCATTTCATCTCTTCTCAACCCAACAAAAACAACCAACACCAGTACAACTTTATGGAAAAGAAATTTCAACAGAAGCATTTTTTATAAAAGTTAAAAATTGATCTTCTTCTAAACTTTGGATTTCTTAGGTTCAAACGATGAAAATTTGAAATGTCAATATTTTCATATTTTATTGTTTCGACTTTTACTTGATGAAACTTCATGTCACTAATGTATAACTAGATAAAAACAAACACAGTTTTTTTAGTTTCACGAATTTCTTTCATTTTTATTTTGACAATTGTTTAGCTAACACAGTAGCTTCTGTATGTACTATGCTCCACACCTCAAAGTCCCACCACGTGACCACGTACGGAACGCAGTCTTTTGAAAATTTGGCATTTAAGGCTTTTCAGGTTATGTATCTGTCAAAGTATAGTCAATGAAAGAAATAATATTTATAGTGTTACCGCTTATGTTTAAGCGTTAAAAGTTAATAAATCTTTATAGTATCACAATAACAATGGTTGGTTTAAGAATTCAGGAATATAAATACTGCATTTAATGAAATTCCAAAGTGTAAGGTGCAATATAAGTGATATTTTTTAGCATTGGGTCTACATTTCTCCATAAAATAGTTTTAACTAAACAGCATTTATTAAAAAAAATCTAACTTCTCTATTATGAAATAAGAATATCTGTATCAAAGGTAGGTTAATGTATTAGAACAAAAAATATCATCTAATTTTGTATTTTAAGGTTAGAAAAATCTATTTTGACCAAAATAAATAAGTGGATTATTTGGAAGAGTGTGTTAATATAGTCATAAATAAATTTAGTCATAAATAAATATAGGTATACTAAATAATTGTTGAATATGGTTCAAATTAAATTAAAGCTTTTATACTTCTAATGACAAAACTTGTGCAGACCTCTCGGCATACCTACTTTAAGTTAGATTATAAGAAAACTAACAATTTTTAGAGAAACTTGCAATGTGAAAATATTTAATACTCCCATGACATGTGATTTATTAAAATTTTTAAAATTATAATGATTTTTCGATGTAGGTCAAGTTCAGTCGAAACTCTTTAACTATTTGTATTAACAAAACTTTATGTACGTACACTTTAAGGTGGATAAGAAAAACTACCACATTTTTAAATACCATATTATACAGTCTTTTAAATAATCCAAAATACTTATTTATTTTAGTCAAAATAAATTTTTCTAACCTTAAAATTACAAAATTAGATGATATTTTTGTTATAATACCTTTAAAACAGATATTCTTATTCCATAATGGAGAAGCTAGATTTTTTTTAATAAATGCTGTTTAGTTAATATTATTGTATGGAGAAAACCAGATATTTGGACCAAATGCACAAAAATATTACTTATTTGGCACCATACACTTTAGAATTTCATTAAATGCAGTATTTATATTCTTAAATTCTTAAACCATCCATTGTTATTGTAATGTTATAAAGATTTATACATTTTTAACGCCTAAATATAATATTATTTCTTTCGTTGACTATACTTTGACAGATACATAACCTGAAAAGCCTTAAATGCCAAATTTTCAAAAGACTGCGTTCCGTACGTGGTCACGTGGTGGGACTTTGAGGTGTGGAGCATAGTACATTTCTGAATGAAAATGAAAATCAAAATGAAAGAAATTCGTGAAACTCAAAAACAGTGTTTGTTTTTATCTATAGTTATACCTACATTAATATATTCATTTACTATCAACGTAGATCTAAGCATCGAGTACTTGGTTCATAGAGAGTTAGGGGAATATTTTCCCGACTAAAATAGAATAAAAATTAGATAGAAAAATTAAAATCAAAATTAAAACTTACCAATTCCTGGAAGTAGGCCAATAAAACGGTCTTGTTAATATTTCTTTCCAAACTAAAAACACTTTATCTTAAATTGCCCGGGACTTCACCGGCAATAAATTATGTGTAGCCTTGGCTACATTTTGTAAAATATTTTGCGGTACTTCTTCCATATTTCTATCAAGTTTTGATTAATTGTGTACTAACAAATCAACATTTGGTTTCAGTAGCAATGATAGTGGGAAATTTGACAAGTTTATTTAATACTTAAGTTATTGATAAAAAACATAATATATTAAGTAAAAAATAAAGCATTGTATGCACCACAGGCATTATAAGGCTATAATGCCCTTTAGGGAAAATCCTAGCCCTTGCGCATTAAAGCCTACATAATGTCCTTGATACATAAATAGCTATAAAATATAATATTTACTCTATGCCTTTATATTTTACCATGTAGTCAACCAACTCTACTTACCCGTATGGAAAACATTAATATAAGTATACCTATACGTGTTTTTAACACTTGGTAATCTTAATAATATAGAATTTTCATAAATAATATGAATTAATAATTAATTTGCATAGATAAAAATATACATTTTAAAATTTGTTTTTTAACAAAAAGTGTTCCACAAAATCATAATAAATGTTCAACTATCTCGCCGTTAACAAAGTTGACAGCGGCGTAGAAAATTATGATGTGTCGCTCTTGCTATCATATCCGGATGATTTATGATTTCATCTGCCGCTGCAAGTTAAAGAAAAAAAGGTAAAATAAAATGGTTTGTCAATAAATTAATATTTATTAAATAATGATTCATTATTCAATAATCCAAAGTCAATCGTATTATTTAATACAGTAGGTGGCATCTAAAAAACATAATTTAACATTTCAATGAAACCAATCTTAAATATCTTACCATTGGTCTGTGTAATAATCCAAGCCAAATAGGAAGACACTCTTGTATTAAGCCCAGGCTTATTGGTAGCGCATCCCAAACCGTAAGAAATAACACCTAGCAGTTGAAGTCGCCTAATACCACTGTCCATCCAAAGTAAAGGCCCACCAGAGTCACTTTGACAGGCATCCTTTCCAGAAGCAAAAGTACACATTTGGTTTGCGGTGATTATATTATCTGGCAATTCGCTTTGACACTGGGCATTGCCTACCACTCGTAAATCTACCTCTTGAAGCGTATCGGATTTTGGACCGGAAAATTCCAAAGCACCCCAACCTAAAAGAAGTGTTACATGGGTCGTTTTCAAAAAACACTCGCCTTCCGCTGTCCGTAAGTTTGAATTCCAATAACTTTGTTAAAAATTATCGGATCTTATTGATTTAAGAACCAAGTGAAAGCCTAACAAGCCCTTAGTAAACTCTTTCAGAAAATTTTTGTTTAGTTATTTGATTTAAGAACCAAGTGAAAGCCTAACAAGCCCTTAGTAAACTCTTTCAGAAAATAACAAGCCCTTAGTAAACTCTTTCAGAAAATTTTTGTTTAGTTATTTCAGAATAATTTTTTTTTAATTTTGAAACTTGTGAAACACACATTTTCGCATATCCCATTAGCGTTTTATAAAACTTACATACATGTTTTTTTTTTAATATTGAATAACCAGAACTTTGTGTTGCTTTATAGCAATCCATAACATCCTTAGTTAAAACAGTAAACAATTTATATATAAAATAATTAATTTTAATCTACTTTTTTTAAATTTGACTCATGTCCCAGACATTTTTTCCGTTGCGTTACGTCCGTCGCGTTACCGATAGAATATTTAAAAAAACATATATATGGCAACTTCTTTGGTACTCACGTGATCTACAAATGATGTTCGGACGTACACAATGTGTACTACACATTACCCAGCTGAATTTATTTATTCAATCAGGAAGAAGATATCGGTTGATATGTTTATTTTAGGGCACTAAAGCTCATTGAGAGTAATTAATGACTATAATGTCTTATTATTATTTTTTAAATATGGTTTTACAAAAATTTGTCCACTGCGTTACCGAGTCCACTGCGTTACCGAGTCCACTTACCTTATGGTAACGCAATGGAATTTAGGGTAACGCAATAGAATTTTTCGACAACAAAGTGGATATTTACCGTCGCTTTTATTAAAAGTAGTTTATGATTAACCAATTTAAAATTATTTGTAATTAAAACTCATGATATAGATTACATCCAAGGAAAAATTCCACGCAATATAAAAGTACTAAAAGGGACCTTCACCAGCTTATAGTCAAAGAAAAAGGGTGTCTACAATTTAGAAATCTAAGTTGTTATTCTGCAAGTGAGCACCACTACAAGGGATTTTGTTTATGCATCTAAAATCGTACCACCCTATATAGTTTATTTTTTACGTTATCTGATTAAGTCCTTTGTGTACCCCTGTCCGTTGTGATACCAATGTCTATTTCGTTACTTTTTTTAGTTTTTGTTAAAAAAATACTTAAAATGATTTTTATACACCATCACTTGGTAATACGTGTTTATAAATTAGAGTTTAATTCACTAATACAGTGACTAAAAGAAAATATTAATGGTATTGTTTTTTTAACAAAGAATCGGAATGGTTTCTTTTAAAAAGTAACTTAACAAAGATACATATTTAAAAAAAAAGCATACAATTTTTAATAAAAAATAAAATAAAAAATTGGAGTCAAAAGTTTGTGAACTAAGTACATTTTATTTCAAATTATTTTTATAACAACTTTTTTATTGAATTAAATTTTGGATTTCAAATTGGTAACACAGTGGAGATATGTAAAGCTAGCTAAACATATTTTTCTGAAAAAAACGTAAAAAAAAATAAAAAGTGCACTGCCTGTCTTAAATGTAAGTAAACAAAACTCTAAACATTTAGAAAAATCCAACCAAAAGTCAATTTAAGCAAAAAAATATTTTGATCTTCATTTTCCTGAAAGCGGGTGTTTCTTGAAAATGACCCACATATTTTATCAGTTTTCACTAGTCTTGGGCACAAAAGTATAAAAATAAATACAAGAAATGTATATCTCATAAAATGTAATGAAATTCGTAAAATTTAATTGTTTTAAAACGTCTTCAAACGAATCACATTTAAAAACTTTTAAAGAGCTGATGGTCATTATTTGCTCCCGAAAAAAACATTGAATATTATATATTTCATAACACAACATTACCTAAAGCCATAACTGTAGCCCCTTCAAAAGTAGTTCCAGTATAACGAAATGGCAAACATGCAGGTCCAATCTCCAAATTAAAAGTTATAGTTTTCGTCGTTTTTAATATTGCAATATCGTTTATTTGGGATTGAGGTTCGTATCTCTCATGTATAACAAAACTTTGAGTGGAATAAAGAGCTGCTTTGTCGGTATCAGAACCTACAATAAAACGAAACAACAAAATAAAAATGAACATATTTTCTTCATAAAAACCTGAGGAAATGTTGTGATCACCAACTAAAATACCAATGTTGCCGGCGACTCTTCCATAGGCGCAGTGAGCTGCAGTCAAAACGTATCTATCTGAAATAATTGAAGATCCACAGTACAGTGAGTTCTGGCTGAGATCAATCAAACCGGCCATGGAAGGAAATTCGTGTACTCCAGTTTCACGGCCACCCACTATTCTAAGCTAAAATAGTTTGTTAAGCAAGTTTTATAAAAGTAGTATCAAGGTTTAAGGTTATATGAAATGAGTGCGAATGAATGAAATATAGGATAACCTTGTTTTAGGAAAATGCTGTTATTCACTGTGGTCAAAACTTAAGTATAGGACGAACAAAAATGCCAACCAAAACTGATAGCATATTTTGATTATAGACCCTTTTGGTAACACTAACATGGATTTATCAAAATCCCAGCTGATCCTATTTTAAAGTTTTGCAAACTTTTTTGTTTTTCTATTTCTATATATTATTTTGCAATTATTGTACTAAAACTACCTGTACAATTTTAATAAAATTAAGCAAAATAATAAACTTTGTATCATTTAAATTACTTTACTCCCCAGTATTAATTTATTGAGTCACCTATTATTTTTTACCACTCAAAACAAAACATAACAAAAAAAAGGAAGATTAAATATTTTTTATAACAAAAAATACTGGAAGTTTGTCTATGAAATAATTACAACTTGCAAATTTTGTAAAACAATAATTAAGGTGGTTATGAAAAAAATTGCTATACGTTATAACGCAAGTGACATTTTGCTTTAGTTGTTATTTCATGTATACTTTATAAAGTTAAAAATAGTATTTTAAAATGAAAATTAAACCGAAATTCAAGCTAAGCCATGAAGAAAATCGAAAGAAGGTATGTGCTGGCTGTGGAGACAAAATTGTTTTTTGTAATCGAAAAATTCAGAGTTTAGAGTTTCTGAGAAAATATAAAAATTAAAAAAATTAAACGAACACTTTAACTTAAGTGATTCAAAATTACCTACTTCAATATGGTAAAAAAGGAATTTTTTATAGCCACAATTGTCAAATTTTCAAAATTTAGTAATTGCTAGAGAATTTCGCGGCAGCCAAGAATGTATGTGCTTTATCTGCAAAATGGCAAGATATAAAGGGCATAAAAAATTATTAAGGAAAGAGGACGGACGAACGAACTAAAGTTTTGATATGCTCTTCCTTTCTAGGGGATATCGCTAGATGTAAGAAGCATGTTTGTACAGAGACTGAAGAATTTAAAAATACTTTTTCCATGTTGAAACCAATTCCATGTAAAATCCAAGAAAAAGTTTTTTAGTTATTTATTAGTTTTGTATTAGGTACCTTAAAACAATAAATAAGATATTGCAAACTGTATTTTACATTCAATTTATCCATATTTCAGTCATGTATCTGCCAAATTTTTAAAAACATTTGATAATGGTACTAGAGTATTTTATCGAAATGGCATAAACAATTTTAAAATACTAAGAAATATGCCAAACTTTAATAAAGGATCAGCTGGGATTTTCATAAATACATTTTTGTGTTACCAAAAGAGTCTATAATCAGATTATGCTATCAGTTTTGGTTGTCATTTTTGTTCGTCCTATACTTTAGTTTTGACCACCGTGTATTATACAGGATGAGTCTTATAACTTAAAACTTTGAAATATCTCAGTAAATAGGCATTTTACGAAAAAATGGTTAAGATAAAAATTAAATGATTCATATATTCCACATTTGGTTAGTTTTCCCTAAAGTTTACAAATAGTGATATTTTATAAAACCTTGCTGTTTAAACTTAGGAGATTATACCATTAATAATGATATTATAAAATAAATATTGTTAATTATAATTACCACATGTTTCCATCCACAATCGCATACATTAGGACGGGGTGTTGTAGTGCCAGAGCCACCATCTTTTATAGAAACTAAAGAACATACAAATCTGCCTCCACGTGAGTTCCACGTTGAAAATAAACCTACAGAGAAAAATGTAGTATGCTTTATTGTAAGGTTTTTGTCACATATTACCTACAACTATGGAATTTGATTGCGACACTAAAGTAATTGATCCCTTCCCGCAATAATTGTGAGCATCGTTAAAATTTGGATCTCCTGATAGAGACACTGCCAGACGATCTCCACTGCATCCCTGGGTCTAAAAACATGATTTATTTATTAGTTATTGCCAACCAACTGAAAAAACTTTTCGGTTTTATTTTAACAAATACACTCACAGGCAAAATAATCGATCCACACAAATTTTCGATGAATTTCAATCGCAAATAACTTGTTTATTTGATGTCGGATTTAAACGAATATTAAAGAATATTGTAGATAAATTATTGGACAATCGCTCACATTTTAAAAAATTACTAAAAAATAGACGTACGTTTATAATATACAGGTTTAAACAAAAAGATGTTTTTTACCATAAGTTTAAGACACTCTGTAGAGTGGCAAAACCGTATGTGTATTGTTCTAAATTAAGTTTTATTTATCAAGTCACATCTATTCTTAACAGTTTTGTTTTTGGTTCACCTCGATATATTTATTTTTGTGGAAAATATGGATTTTTTAAAAAACATTGCAATTTCCAATATTTTTCTGTATGAAGAACTTAGGTTGCTATGGTCCATCCATAGGCTATGGAGAATGACAGTGACAGTTTTGTTGAATCATCCCATACTTGGACATGTCATACACGACTTTCAAAAGCTATCAAATTGTTTTTTGCAAATTAATGTTTAAATTTTGAGGTGTCTTCTTACTTTAAAAAATGGATATGTCTTCGACTGATGTTGCCAGAGCCATTAATATAATCCAGGATGGAGGGGCACAGTATTACGAGGCAAATGTTTTAAACTTCACAAGAAGTAAAGTACAAAGGTCAACATCAGTCGGAGACATTTTTAAAAGTAAGAAAACAGCTCAAAATTAACACATTAATTTACAAAAAACAATTTGATAGCTTTTGAAAGATGTATATGACATGTCCAAGTATGGGATGATTCAACAAAACTGTCACTGTCATTCTCCATAGCCTATGGATGGACCATAGCAACCTTGGTTCTTCATACAGAAAAATATTGGAAATTGCAATATTTTTTTTAAAAAATCCATATTTTCCACAAAAATAAATATATAAAGGTGAACCAAAAACAAAACTGTTAAAAATAGAAGTGACTTGATAATTAAAACTTAATTTAGAACAATATACGGTTTTGCCACTCTACAGAGTGTCTTAAACTTATGGTAAAAAACATCTTTTTGTTTAAACCTGTATATTATAAACGTACGTGTATTTTTTAGTAATTTTTAAAATGTGAGCGATTCTCCATTAATGTATCTACAATATTCTTTAATATTTGTTTGAATCCGCAATCAAATAAAAAAGTTATTTGCGATTGAAATTCATCGAAAATTTGTGTGGATCGATTATTTTGCCTGTGAGTGTATAATATCAGATCGATCTGCTTACATCTGGTAGGGTAATGTCCTCACACGACATTACGATCCTTGTTCCCACTGGACTAACAGCCATATACCTGCAGGACGTCGAAGAACCATAGTAATCAGGATATGCATCATTACTGATATAATACTGTTCACCAGCGATCATATCTTTGTAATAATCACAATTTGGATTAACTGCCATAGAAACTGGCATCAAAAAGTTGAAAATGCCTGAGAGAGCCATGGCGAAAAGGAGAAGTTCTAAAAAGTAATTCATAATTTGTATTAACATTTGTAAGATATTATGTACAAACCCAATAAGGGTGAAAAATTAAACATTAAATTTATTTATATATAAATTAAATATTCATACGTAGTTTTGAGAAGGTGGAGAGTTATATGTATGTATCTAGGATTCTAATAAACAACAAAGACGACGAAGAAGATGAAATAAATCTAAGAATAGCAAAAGCAAATAGATGTGCAGGAAGTTTAAATAAAATTCTAAAGTCAAAAGTAAAAATAAGAATGTATAAAACCATTATAAGACCTACTGTATCATATGCATCCAAAACATGGATATTAAATAGGAGCAAGTAAATTAAACTTGAGATATGGGAAAGAAAAATTCTACGCAGAAATTTATGACATTTATAAGAAACCCATAACAACTGAAGTGGTTAAATCAAGAAGGATGCAATGGCTAGGGCATTTGGAAAGAATGGATAACCATAGGCTAGTCAAAGGTATTGAAAGCAAAATGGCAGAAGGAAAAAGAAGAAAAGGAAGAAACAAATGGATGGAAGAAGTATTAAAGGACCTAAAAGAAAAAAAGATTGTCGAATGGAAAACAAAGGCGAAGGACAGAAAAAAGTGGAAGAAGATAACTAAGCTATATATATATAATATTCTACAAAAGTTGGACAACTTGATGTCATCAGTCAATAGAGTAGGTATTTTAATATTTTTTGTAAATATTTTAGTATATTACAAAAGATCCAGGTTTTTTTAAATTGTCCACCCAATTTTAATGTATTTTTTCAAAAGTACATTTGTAGAAAAACATAATAAATATTCAAAACATCAGTACCTTGGCGTGTCACAACTCCTAAATCAAATATTTGAGTGATTTTATTTTAAAATATATTCAATTTATCTTAAATTTTTTAATTTCACTTCAAACTAAAAAACATTGTATACTCTTCATATTTTATAATAGATTCGAATAATAGCAATTTTTAAAAAATTGATATTCTTTGTACTCACTTTTACCCGTCAGTTCTGTGACCAATGTTAAAATTCAAAATTCTTGCGAAATATTGAATTTTAAACAAGTCCTCGTTTTAACTCAAGTGTTGGTAAAAAATTACCTACAGAGCCCGCCCTTTGCACGACAGTCATCTTGAAAACAATGCAAGCGGCGAAGTTGTGGTGAATGCACGTATAGTTCCAGTCAAAATTTCAGTACTGTGGTTATTTTCTTACGTATATATATTTCATTGTAATTTATATAAGGCTATATGTGATTTGTTGATAAGTAGCATCCACTTATAAAAAATTTCAGTATAATACTTAATTCCAAATTATAATCTTAAATTTGTATCCCATTCTTCAGTACCGTGTCGTCAGTTCCAGGTTCAACGTTTCGGTTATCTTTTTTTCGCAAACTTCAATTTAAATTCTACTTGCGCGGAACTTGTTTATTTAATGTCATTATAAACTCATATAAATTTGGTGTGGGTCCCATATCTAATAATTGAGATATCGGTATACCCAAAATCCACCAGCCGCCACTGATGTGTGGTATTATTTGATTTTAAGATATTTAATGTATTATATGCTCAAAGTTGCAATAAATCTTATATTTTTCAATAAATTATGTATTTAATTAGTACCCTGGTATACTCGTTACTTCCCTTGCATTCAAATTTAGAAAAAAACAGATATTTCAGAAACTGTTTGAAAAAGTGACTGGCCCGGTCTGGAACAGTATATTTATTATATTATCTATGTTTTCATAACAAAATACTGTTTAATTTTCTACTAAAACTATATAAACAAAATGAGGTCAAAAGTTGCCCAACTTTTGTATAATCAACCATATATATTAAAATCTACTTTTTTTGACACTAACAAACGAATATAGCGCTAAGCCCAATAAATATTTTTAAAGGGAATTAAAGGCTCTACAAAAAAGTTATCCTATGATTTTTTTGTAAACTTATCCATTCGAAAGCTATATAAAAAGTAAAAAAAAAAATGTTTTTTCAAAATTTTAACTTGCAGAATTTTGAAATGAGTAGTAAATATTTTTGTGGGAAATTAATTAATTGTTCTACAAAAAAGTTTTCTTTTGTTTTTTCGATAAAAGCAAGTTTGTTTAATATAAAGTATATCCCGTATGGTTTAGTGGTTAAAACACCTATAGCTATAGCTTTTAGTATGACAAGGGTTTTTTAAACCTAAATAATTTATTGTTATTGATGATACAATGTAATTCATATTGTCCTATATTTTTAACACTGATTTTAGTAAAAAAAAACGTTTGTCTCTTTTTTATAAAACCAATTAACATTTAAATTTTAACCAGCCAGACATATTGATAATAACTTTGTTTGTATAGATATGATTTCTAAGCTATTAGGCAAAGGGGCAATTAGTTACTTAATACATGTACATATGTATTAATTTACCAATTAAAAATTGATAAAAATTAGCATTATATATTTGTATAACTATTGCGTTAAAAACAATACCATTATAGATAATTCCAATAATTATGTACACGTTTAACACAATTTTGGAAATCAAGATAAAAGTTCTTTTCACACAAATTTAATTAATGTAATTTTGATAATTATATTTTTGTTCTTTATTTACAACTCCAAATTCTATTGAAAATAAGAAATAAATGTCGGCGCATTCACCATTTTTACAATTAAATAAGTATAATTTAAAAAAATAAATTCATACACGTTTACACTTTTATTTAATGGTATTATATTTAGGCAATGTGACCTATTTTTGGATTTTTTTTACAGATGGAGTGACTAACTAAGAATAGTTATGTTGAAAAGTTTATTCTTTGTATACACATTCATAAAGGAGTCAGAAGCGATTAATAGTACTCCAAAATGTTAGGATTTGTTAACATGAGTTTGAAATTTGTTATTTTTATTTTGGAAAATGTTAACATATTTTTTTGTAGAACCCTGGTTTGTAATTATTTTAACAAAGGAAAATATATTACCGAAAGTTATTTCTTTATATTTTCATGATTTCAGAATGGCGTGTTATTTAATTGTATGTATGTTATTTATGTGTTTATTTATATGGTATGTGTTAATTTTTTTGTTAAGGAAATTGATTAATAAACTAACATTTATTATCAAAATTCTTTTCATTTAAGTTCCCAATTTTCAACAAACACTTTTGTTACTGGGTCTACAAAAAGGTTTGTAAAAATAGGATCCTTTTTGAAAATTAGAAGAATTATGATTGAATTATTGATATAGGATTTTGTTATTAAATCTACAAAATGTTTGTTATAATTACACACTACTTATAAAATTAGTTAACAGATTACAGTTGGTAGTAAATTTAACATAAAGTTATGTGGACCTGGATTAACATAAAATCTGTTATTTGGTTAAAATTAACAAATATTTTTGTACTGTGTTTTTATTTTAAATGGAACGACCATAATATTTTCACACCATTTGACGCTGAATATTATTCTCTATTAATTTGTTGTAGCTTAAATGAATATTTTCAGAGATGCTTTACGAAAAAATATCCAAATAAAAATTTATACATGTTCTTTAGATTTCTCATCTGCACATCCATTTCCAATTCCCCTTTTTATCGCCACAAAAAAGCCCAAAAGGGCGTGTTTGAAAAAATATTAATTTTATACTTGTTTAGTTACTTTTTTTTACCAGCATTTCAATTTTATCGAAAAAAATTGCATCAAATTTACAAAACATCTTTACAACCATTTGAACCCTAAATTAAAAAAAATATATTTTTCTATTTTTTACCAAATATTAAAACGAAAAAAATATAGGTCTTAGACTTTAATCGGGAAAATTTAGTAGTCTATAGAACTCGCAAAAATAATTTTAAAAAATGTATGTTTTAAAGGTTTGTTTTCGAGTTATTAATAGTAAATTGTGTGACTATTGGGAGAAAAGGGAGATTCCTTTTTCGAGGAATAAACAATTTTTTTTTTAAATAGAGTAGGAAAAAATGTAGTAAATATAAAAGTTATATTTTTAATTGCTTAATTAAAATATGATATCAAACTCATAAAAAAGCAGTGGCCCTGTATATTTTTTGTTTTACATACATATATACAGGGTGAGTTTTAAGTTGACGCGTTCCTTTTAACAGTGTGTAGAAATCAGCTAGACAAATAAATATTTTAAGTAACTTTTTTATCAAAATTCAAAAATAAAAAAGTTATAGCCCATCAAAGTTTAATTAAATTTTAAGCCGGTCCTGGCTATTGTTAACGAAAAACATAACCATAAAAATATCAAAATAAACAATGCAAAATGTCATATTTGACAACAAAGGTAACCATTTAAATCAAATTGACATTTTGCAATAAAAAATGTCATTATTTACTTAAGTTGCAGCATTTGCATTTTGACGACACTCTCCATAAATTAGTAACATTTCCACTAATTCATTATTTCTATAATTATGAACCATTTTTAACAATAATTGAGGCACTAAAAACTGACATTTTTCATTGCTAAATGTCATTTTGATTTAAATGGTTATGTTTGTTGTCATGGATGACATTTTGCATTGTTTATTTTGTTATTTTTATTTTTATGGTTATGTTTTTTGTTAACAATAGCCAGGACCGGCTCAAAATTTAATTAAACTTGGAAGGCCTATAACTCTCTTATTTTTTGAGTTTTGACAAAAAAGTTACTTAAAATATTTATTTGTTTATCTGATTTCTACACGCTGTTAAAAGGAACGCGTCAACTTAAAACTCACCCTGTATATCTTTGTGCTCTTTCTATAAAACCAGCCAAAACAAAAACACGTAGCGCAGCTCCTGGGCTTTGAAATATAAAAAAATAGGGTAAATTATTTACTAAATAGGGTAATATGTAAGGCATATTATGGGTATTTTCTCTTTTAAACGATTTAATTGGGATTTACCTAAATATAATAAAACTTATATTAAAAATTAGCCAACAAAATGTATTAATGGGTGTATGCTTACCCAGCATTTTATAAAAAAGAATAAGTAATATATACAACTACAACGTTCTTGTTTAAATAAATAATTAAATAAAAGTAATAGGTAACCATTATATGAAGCCCCACTTTTTCTTTTATTTTTTCGTTTAAAAATTTATTTTACAGTAAATATTTCCTGACTGGGTAATGAAACAAAACCATAAAACTAATACTTACAGCTGTCTAATGGTAATCCGCCAATAAAGATATTTTTTATTTATTTAAAATAAAACATGTAATATAATTACTTTATTAGTTATTTTATCATTTAGATATTGTATTAATGGTAAAAATATTGCCAAAAGGTTTTTAATTTATGTTTGGAACGATTTTCAAAAGTTTTTAATAAAAGGTTTTCGAACCTAATTTTAATATTTTATCTACTCCTACATTGACGAGCTGTAACTTTATGGAGTTTTATTGACGGGCTGAAGTTAACATCAGTGGCTTTTCGACATTTTACGTCACGGGCTGAAGTTAGCTTTATTATAAATTGGGAAAAAATGAGGTTAAATTCGGGTGACAGTTGACAAATGTCAAAATTTTAACAAATAAAATTGGCTTTAAATTATGTTTTGTGTTCGTCGTAGATAAAGTATAGTATGCAACTCGTTTATAAACTTCTCTAGGCACTCGTTTTTATTAAACACTCGCTCGCAAGCTTCGCTCGTGCTTAATTAAACTCGTAACTAAAATGGCGTTTATAAAACTTGATACATAATATACTATTAACTAATAGTTTAATAAATTATTTTATTTCAATGTTTTTTCATGAATAACCTGACAAAATAAATTTTTGTAATTATGATAATAAAATTTAGTATAGGGTCGTTTTGAGGGGTGGTGAATCCAGTGCCGTGCTTAGATTTTGTTTAAAAAACCGCTAATATGAATTCTTAAAAATTTACTCTTAAAAACTGACATAGTAGGCCTTGTATTTTGTAAAAATATGGCGTTTTTTTTGCTTCAAAAATATCACAGGTATATCTATTAATATATCAAGCAAGGTTTTTATACTTGATAGTACCAAAGTAAAAAGTTATAGAACCAAACCAAAGTAAAAAGTTATAGAACCTAGTCACTGAGCTTTGTCTTTTGGGCCTCATCATTGACGGGTAGCCATGTGGTGTGAAACGCATCTTTTGTGTCCTTTCGTTTTTTACTTTGTTAATAATTTGGCCTACATATTTTGTTTGCATACCAATCAGGTCCAAGAGGTGTTTTTGAAGATATGCAACATCAAATTTAGATTTTACTGGGCTCTACGTAGCCCAGATCTGTATTCAATCTAGCATATTTGCCCCAGAAAACTTTTCAGTGAGGTTATTCACAACCGAAACCCGAAATATATATTTCACACAGAAAAAACATAGTGTTTTCTGTAAATATATGTTATTTATTTTAAATATACCGTTAGTTCCTATTTGCGCGATTAAATGAATTGTTTGTAATAAATATTTCGTATATTCCCCAATCAAAAGAATGATCGTCTTAAAACAAGACTGAAATATTTGAAAGCAAGTAGAGCTGATTATTTTGTTGAAGAATTGCATATATTTGATGTTAAAGTAAAAAAACATATTATATATTTTAATTTAATATATCATAAACTTAAATACGTCACTTTATGGATATTGCTCTAATTAAAATGAATGTTCAACATAATTATTGGCAATAGTCTTAACAAAAGTACACTCACAGGCAAAATAATCGATCCACACAAATTTTCGATGAATTTCAATCGCAAATAACTTTTTCATTTGATGTCGGATTTAAACGAATATTAAAGAATATTGTAGATAAATTAATGGACAATCGCTAACATTTTAAAAAATTACTAAAAAATAGACGTACGTTTATAATATACATGTATTAAACCTGCAGGTTTAAACAAAAAGATGTTTTTTACCATAAGTTTAAGACACTCTGTAGAGTGGCAAAACCGTAAATTGTGTTTTAATTATCAAGTCACATCTATTTTTAACAGTTTTGTTTTTGGTTCACCTTGATATATTTATTTTTGTGAAAAATATGGATTTTTTAAAAAATCATTGCAATTTCCAATATTTTTCGTGTATAAAGAACTAAGGTTGCTATGGTCCATCCATAGCCTATGGAGGATGACAATGACAGTTTTGTTGAATCACTCCATACTTCAAAGCTTTCAAAAGCTATCAAATTGTTTTTTCTAAATTAATGTGTATTATAAACGTACGTGTATTTTTTTAGTAATTTTTAAAATGTGAGCGATTCTCCATTAATGTATCTACAATATTCTTTAACTTTTGTTTAAATCCGAAAACAAATAAAAAAGTTATTTGCGATTGAAATTCATCGAAAATTTGTGTGGATCGATTATTTTGCCTGTGAGTGTATAATAGCTTTAAGATACACTTGTAAAGTAAAATATTAAATATCTTTTAAATAAATCAAAGATTCAGTTACACTAAATTACTAAATTCATATCAATAGATTATAGATTTGTTTTAAATATAATACCTTTCCATTTAGTATACGCATTTAAATATATTAATTTGTTTTACTTGAAACAAACATTTTTATGTGCGCAGAACTGCAAATAGCTTTTCTCAAGAAGTGGCAAAAATGATTCCAAGAGCAAATTAAATTTAATGAAATTAATTAAATTCGTGTTTTTGAATAAATATGCAATACCTACTTTTAAAAAACGTCAAATATCAAGAAAATTATTTTCGAGAAAAACTGCAAAAATATAGAACGTATAGGTATTTTAGTTTAATTAAAACTATAGTATACCTATGACATTAATTAATTAAAAATCTCGTAAAAAGTAAAACTGAATAAGGTAGAGAAAAAAATCGTCTGGAATATACTAAACTGACAATTGACGCAGGAATTTTTTATTGTTAAGAGTGTATTTTATTTTGTATTTAATTTAAAATAATTTTTTAGACTCACCCATGATAGAACACGGTTTTGCGGTGTTTTTAGGAAAAAACACACTTTACTAATGGATTATTGTTTTTGCAATTGTTCGGGTATATCATTGTTATATTTTTTATCTAAAAATTTTACGCAATTATCTAAGGCAAATAAATATAATTAGTTTTAACTCACTTAATTTTGTTAAGTAAATTAAAACAACAGTAAATATACTTAATTTTTAAACTACATAATGTTTTTAAATTTTTTTTATTTATTTTTAACTTACATAGATTTTATATATATTACATTTTTTACAGGCGTAAGTTTTTAAAATTTTACTTATCCATATTGCCCTCTATTGGCAATATAAGGAACATAAACGCACGCCAACTTACAGCTTTTGGAACACAGATGGCGATACATTGTTGTCATGGTAACCATTTCAAACAATGCGGCAAACATTGTTTGTAAATACAATACAATAAGGAAGTGCCAAATTTCACACAGTTTTTCTTATTTATTGATTTAATTGTGTTGTTATGTCAATATACACGCTCATTTGGAACCGTTATTAGGGTAAGTAATAATAGATAAGCCTATAGAGAAAATAATTTATCGATTTCTGATATTTTAGGTGATACTAGTAGCGATTTTATTTAAGATGTTGATATTAAAACTGAGCATCTCTTCCATATGCTTCCAATATTTCAAATTGTAACCCAAAAAACGATGTCAATCAATGAGAGACCTAGAAGAAAGAAACCCGAGGTGCAGGTTCACAAAAATCAGGAAGATGAACCGTACAGAAAAACTTACAGTGCAAATTTTAACTCTAGAAAATGTCGCCATAAGAAAACCGAAGACAATAAACACTTCACAGAGGTAATATTGGAACTTCCCGAATCGGAACGAAGTACCAAAACCAGTAAAAGACAACTAAATGTGGAAATGCAGCGTTTAGCGAAAGAAAATGAGGATGTGGTCGCGAAATTCAACGAGTTAGAAGAATTATCCGTCAAGAAGATTACCAGGTTAAAAGAGAAAATCACTTCCCTTCAACAGATTAATAACACCATAATTAAAGACAATGATTATATTAAGAACCAGTACCAGGAACTTATGCATAGTTTTGAGGAAATTAAAATGCAACTGGAGATAAGCCAAAACTGCAAAACCTGTGAAGACTTGAGAGTTGTAGTCGATAAACTATCAGCGGATAACACATCGATTAGCAAAACCAATAGGGAGTTAAACGAAGATCTGGAAATGCTTAAAACAGTAGTATACAGACTGAACATGCAATTGGAACGTTACCAAGAAAGCCTGAGGAAAAACAACATTAAAGTTACAAATCCTGTGTTACGTAGTCCAAACAAATCTGTACCGGAAAAAATAACGACTCACACCATTACCGCCAATATTTTATCCGAGTCTCACTCCAATCACAACCATACTCCGATAGCTTGGGGATGCGTCAACTTGCACACTCTGGGGCCACTTTTGGATGCCTACCAGGATACCTTAACGGAAAAAGAGGAAATTATAGGAAACTACGAAATTGAAATATCAAAGTTTACAGGGAAACTGAAGGAAATAATCAAGGAAAACGAAGTATTACATTCAAAGTTGACCGAGGATGATGAGTGTAGTGCTAAACTGAAATGTGATATTGTTAAGCTAAAATCGGAAGTTAAATCCACCAGGGAACAGAATGATATTTTGATCAAGAAATGCGCTTTAAAGCAGGATAAATTGGAAGAAGTGATCAAATCCTATGAGCAGAAAGGTTTGTTTATGTTTATTTCAGTGGCGGCTCGTGGGTGTACAGTAGTAGTAGTTTAGTATTAACTACTAAACTATTATAAATAAAAAAATTAAAGAAAATATCAAAGCAATCGTAACCCAAATTGCAAAAACATAAATTCGTTTTTTAAAACTTTAAAATATATATCTGAAACCAAAAAATATATTTATATGGATAAATAAAAATATAAAGTTCATTTTTTTTATATGGAATGCGGATACGTTAAAAATTTAGGGTTTTGGTTGGTAAAGACGGAACCAAAATTGGTTGCATTGATTAAAACAAACTAAACTATAAATAACTACACTGTTAAAAATGTTTATTGTAATTTTACTAAACATGTTTTTGCGCACCACAATATAGTAATAATAAAACTCAGTTTTGTGAATTCACTACAGGATTCATCACAACCCACAGACCTACAGGTCTGTGTCACAACCCAATATGGTAAAATTACAAACGTTTGTGGAAATTCACTAAGCATTTATTAAAAATTTGTTCAGTAATTACCATACAGGTATTGTAATTTTGCTAAAAAAATACTAAATAGTAATTTTAAAATGGTTTATTGTAATTATACTATACAATTCATTTCAACTCAGTTTAAGAAAATTACAAAATATATTTTACAATTTTACTGAACTGAAGAAAATTCGTTTAGTAATATTACAATACAAATATTGTTATTGTGTACAACAAATTTCACTACAAAAATTTAGTAATTTACGAATTATACACTGAAAGAAATATATACTAAAGTTAAATAAAAAAATAATTAGGGCAAATATATTTTATGTTTCATATATGGACTACCACATACATTGCTAAAACAAATATATTCGTTTGGTTAGCAGCCTATTGCTGCCCTAGCAATATAAATGTGTTTCTAGCAATATTTTTTTGCTGTAATTCACTTATAGTTTACATTTTATAGTAAGGGTAAGTTTATTTTTATTTAGATCTAACATATCTTCTTTACAATAAATGTATTACAAAATTTAACATACATTCATAATAAACAGTAGTATAAATGTGTAAAGCACTATTATAAAATTTTTAGTATAAATTTGTATTTACTTTTAGCAACAAATTTCTTTCAGTGTACTACGAAAAAAAACCTGCAATTTTCTTAGTTTCTTCAAAAAACTTTCTTGACCCATTACTGTAAAGATTTAAAAAAATTGAACCTTCACCTGGTCAGAGTTTTTGTTTTAAGTGCGTTCCAGCAACTTCAAATACCGACAGACAGCTAGACAGATAGACCTATTTTGGGTCTTATGTCGGGCAATTTGGTGCATTAGAACACACCAAAATCAAATCAAATTAAATCGAAAGACACCTGAGATTATATACTTTCCACCTAAGTCAACCGAGGCGAGATGTAAGAACATCACGTAGTTTCCGCAACCGGTACATACTATGCATTTTACATATCATTATAGCAAATCAAATTACAAAAACGTTTGTAAATCTGAGATGCTTCTTATTGGAAACTGTCAAACTGTTTGGTAAAATTAAATTAAATTCAATTCTACAATACAGAATTGTAAAATTACTATAAGGGTGATTCTAGAAAAGTTGGACAACTTGATGTCATCCGTCAATAGAGTAGGTATTTTAATATTTTTTGTAAATATTTTAGTATATTACAAAAGATCCAGGTTTTTATAACTTCTCCACCCAATTTTAATTTTTTCAAAAGCACGTTTGTAGAAAAACATAATAAATATTCAAAACATCAGTACCTTGGCGTGTCACAACTCCTGAATCAAATATTTGAGTGATTTTATTTTAAAAAATATTCAATTTATCTTACATTTTTCAATTTTACTGTAAACTATAAATATTTTCGTATATTACAAAAGATCCAGGTTTTTTTAACTTGTCCACCCAATTTTAATGTATTTTTTCAAAAGCACGTTTGTAGAAAAACATAATAAATATTCAAAACATCAGTACCTTGGCGTGTCACAACTCCTGAATCAAATATTTGAGTGATTTTATTTTAAAATATATTCAATTTATCTTAAATTTTTCAATTTCACTGTAAACTATAAAACATTAAATAATGTATTTTTCATATTTTATCATAGATTCGAATAATAAATAAATATTAAAGTTTAAACGTCAAGTCCTCGTTTTAACTCAAGTGTTGGTAAAAAATTACCTAGAGAGCCCGCCATTTGCACGACAGTCATCTTGAAAACAATGCAAGCGGCGAAGTTGTGGTAAATGCACGTATACTGCCCTACTATGGAGAAAGGCAGTAACTGCAAAAAAATGCGTTTTCTTGTATTATGGTAAAGCTATGGAAATTTTGTAACCGAATTCAACACAGAAATTCAGTCAAATATCTCATAAGTTAAAAAAATCAATTAAATAGCTACTACTTTTTATAAAAATGTAGTTTATGCTAATTTTCCACAAATATCTTGTTTAGCAGTTACTGCCTTTCTTCATAGTAGGGCAGTATAGTTCCAGTCAAAATTTCAGTACTGTGGTTGGTAGTTATTTTCTTACGTATATATTTTCATTGTGATTTGTGATTTGTTGATAAGTGGCATCCACTAATAAAAAATATCATTAAAATACTTAATTCCGAATTATAATATCAAATTTGTATCCCATTCATCAGTCCCGTGTCGTCAGTTCCATGTTCGATGTTTCTATTATCTTTTTTTCAAAAACTTCAATTTAAATTCTGCTTGCGCAGAACTTGTTTATTTAATGTCATTATAAACTCATATAAATTTGGTGTGGGTCCCACATCTAATAATTGAGATATCGGTATACCCAAAATTCACCAGCCGCCACTGATTTGTATTATTTGATTTTAAGATATTTAATGTATAATATGCTCAAAGTTGCAATAAATCTTATATTTTCCAATAAATTATGTATTTAATTAGTACCCTGGTATACTCGTCACTTCCCTTGCATTCAAATTTAGAAAACACAGATATTTCAGAAACTGTTTGAAAAAGTGACTGGCCCTGTCTGGAATAGTATATTTATTATATTATCTTTGTTCTCATAACAAAATACTGTTTAATTTTCTCCGAAAACTATATCAACAAAATGAGGTCACCAGTTGCCCAACTTTTGTAGAATCACCCATAAGTATCTGACAAAAAAAAACATTGTAAAATTGGAACCTGTTTATTACAACACTTGGTAACAGTGTAGGTAAATAGTTTACGCTCTTTGCTGGTTTGAGCCGCCACTGGTTTGTTTCCAATTGTATAGGTTTTGAATAAAACTATACAACTATTTCCATAACGGTTTTTAAAGTTTAGGTACTCGTATAAAGTATACAAATACTTCACATAAGATTACTTCAGTCAAAATCTATTTTTAGTTGAACAACTGAAGAGAGATTACGGTGTGGCTCAAGAACAATACTACCGATTAAAAACAGACCTTGTGGCGACCAAGGAAAAAAACAAAGCTCTTGCTGGTGCTCAAGATGAGTTCAAGAATGAAAGGCACAACTACATTCCTATTTCCGTGCATACATCAAGTGTTAACGAATGCAAAAGGTAAAAAATAAAACGCTTGGAGAGGTTTCACATTTTTATTGTATTGTCTGGTGATTTATTTATGTTTCTAGGTGGTATGAAGAGTTAAAAGTGCAATACGAGGGTGAAAAAAGAAAACTTGTTGATGCTTTAGAAGCGAAATCGAACGCAGTCAATGAGCTTGAGAGAAAAGTGTCGAATTCCATAAAAATGAAGGAGGAGTTGGATGGAAAAATTGTGCAATTAGAAAAACAAATTAAGTAAACATTTTTTAATTTAAGTGAAATCACCACCAAATAAATAATTATTCTTATTTTTGGTCGAAATTTTAAAAAACTGTTTTCTTGACTAAAATTACCAAATATATTTACTTTCATTTAGGGTTTTAGTGTAGAAAAAAACGGAACAATTGGGGAAAAATCTGTTTTTTTGTTTTTTACCCAGGTCTTAAAAAATTGTATTTTTTGGGAAAAATTGAAATATTTTTGGAAAATATATCCAAAACAACAATATTTTAATATTTTTCCAAATTTTGTTTATTTGGGGGTGTTATTTAACACCTACAAGTGGACAGTTGGATTTTTTTAAATAAGCCCTTAAAAAAGAAAAAAGAAAAAAAATGGTCCCCTAGGTCACAAATTTACTAACATACTAAAAAAAAATTTAAATAAAAATGCTTAATCATTTTAAAAATATATTTTTTTGCTTGTTAATTAACCTTTTAAGGTTTTATTTACACTGGGATTTGTTTAAAAAAGATCATAAATTTTTTATTTGTAACAAAATAGTTAAAGCAAAAACTATATTCTATTTCTCAACTTTCTTACATATGTACATAAAATATATAAAAAAATACTTAGTTTTAGTTATTAGTAATATTAATAAAATAATAATAAAAAGTCAATATAAACATTGTTTCGTTGAATTACCAAAAAAAATTGTCCAGCTTCTTTGAGGCAAAATATATTGACTGGGAAAATTACAATTAAAAAGGTGGAGGACATTAAGTTCGAAAAAAAATGTTTTTAAAACTTTCCTATAAATTTACTATTATTTCAAATTTATATTATAATTTATTTCTTTGGAATTGTCCTCTGGGTCACATAACTTTCGCCATGGTCACACAATATGTGATCCAGGAGACGTGTGACCCACACGGAAAAAATAATCGGTAGAGGCTACCGATTGGCAATCGGTAGCAGCTACCGATTGCCAATCGGTAGACTCTACCGAAAAAATCGGTAGACTCTACCGATAAAATCGGTAGTCTCTACCGAAAAAAAATCGGTTCCCTCAACCGATTTTTATCGGTAGCAGCTACCGATTATTTTCGGTAGAGTCTACCGATTTTTTCGGTGCAGGCTACCGAAAAAATCGATTACCAATTTTTGAAAACTTTTGTATTTTTTAGCGAGAAGTTAAATACTCGCTTTTTATTAAATAGAAAATAGTATTTTTTTTTGAGGTATAAATAAATTTAAAATACAAAAATATTAAAAATGAGGAGTAATTTTTATTAAATTTTTAACAATTCTATATAAATATTAAATTAAATGTCTGGTGGCTACAAAGTAGAGATTTTTTTTTTGTATTAATAAACAAGGTTCTAAATTTGGTAATTTGCTCTTATTCTTTGTCATAATTGATTTATAATCAATTTCAACGCAATAAGCATGATAGTGTACCATACATACCTAGAAATATATGTAAATTAAAATTATATTTACATATAAAATAATTGACAAAACTGTATGTATTTATAATAATAAACTTTCTTTTAAATAGATGATAAAAAAACCCATTTCTTTGAATAGCATTTTTTAATAATTACAATGAATACCATCTCAAAATGTTTGACTGAAAAGAGTAATTTTTATTAACTTGAATAATGTTTAATATTATTTTTAAATGTTAATATTTTTAGGTATTAATTTTTTTTTTTAATTTTCTAACAGCGCATCGATGCGGATTTTTTCGGTTACGGCTACCGAAAAAATCGGTAGATTCTACCGAAAAATCGGTAGACTCTACCGAAAAATAATCGGTAGCTACTACCGATAAAAATCGGTTGAGGGAACCGATTTTTTTTCGGTAGAGACTACCGATTTTTTTGGTAGAGTCTACCGATTTTTCGGTAGAGTCTACCGATTGGCAATCGGTAGCTGCAACCGATTGCCAATCGGTAGCCTCTACCGATTATTTTTTTCCGTGCAGGGTAAAAAATGTATGTTTTTAGAACATAACCTTTTTACTGCTTTAAAGATAAAAATTTGTATTTTAGCCCTTAAAGCCATTACTAGGATACTTACTTTTGAGAATCAAACAAAGTCCAACTGGTACCTTTACTACTTTTTATTATGTGACACAGGAGAATGCACATTTTTGCCACGCTGGTGTAAAAAATACAAAAAAACATGATGTGGCTTCAAGATAGTTCAAAAAACCATTTCCTACTAAAATTCGTTACCAAATACATTGCCGCAAGGGGGCAGCACCAAAAAATGTGGGCTCAATTCAAAAGGTCATTTATAAAAGCTGTGACCCAGGAGACGTGACCTAGGGGACCAAAATTAAGGGACAAACTTTTGGTGTTATTTTAACCACTTGTATTTTTAAATATTACCACAAATGGGCTTTTTTTGTAATATTTGGAATATTTTCTCAACTATAAAAAAAATAAAGATGCTTTTAAGATTTTTAAATAGCATTAAGTAGTGAATGTTATTGCGAGTGGGACAGCTACTTTTCTGTACTGTTGGGGAAAGTTTAATTTTTTTATAGGTTTAATTTTAAAATTTTACAATTTTGCTAATATATAGTTGCGGCCCGGTATAATATTTTTAATGAATTAAGATAAAAGAAATAATTATTATAATCATAATATTATGATTACTTATAATCAGCGTAGGAAATTCACTTTTTTCTCGATATCAGTGTACGGATAAATCCGTAAAATTTTGAAAATTTTCAGAAAAAATGACTTTTGCATTTTGAATTAAATTTAAAAAATGCAAAAGCTAATTTTTTTGAAAATTTCCCAATTTTTTCTTTTTTTTTTCGCCGCTCAATTTTTCCGGAAATTTTAAAACCCTACTTTCATTTAACAATAATTTTGCTGAAAAGACTAATTTTTATGGTCAAATAGACCAGTATTTTTCCGGAAATTTTAAAACCCTACTTTCATTTAACAATAATCTTACTGAAAAGACTAATTTTTATGGTCAAATAGACCAGTATTTTCAACATTATGCCATCCAGATTCAAATAGTAAAATGTGTGAAATATGGCCAAACGTTTATAATCTTGAACCTTGTTTTTAGGAAAGCAGAGGGTAAATATTTGGATTTGGAGCACACATTAAACGAGGTTCAGTTGTCAAGAACAGCCTGCAAAAAGCAACTTCATAAAGCGATGACGTTTGCCAAAGACATGGTGGCAGAGCAAGAAACGCTGCTGAAAGCTTTAAATCAACGTCAAATCGAAAATAAAGCAGTAAAAAAAATTGGCAGCGATATGGCCACTAGGATGGACTCCTTAAAAAGCCAACTAAAAGTAAGTAAGATTTTACGTAGTTTTTCAAGAACAAAAAATCAAAATACATATTTAGTCCCCTCTTAAAGCCCCGTCCTTGTTAATTTACCAACTCAGATGTCAAAACTCTTTACTAACTTAGATCAAAATAACGCGTTTCCATGGAAATAAACAACAACCTGCAGCTTACCAGACTTGATAAAAACATTGAAATTTTTTAGTATTTTAACATAATATATTAACATTTCAAAAATATGTCCAAATATGTCCTCCCGTGTCCTCATTACTTCACCAAAATTTCACAAAAAATATTTTTTTTTGGTATAGGTATATGAGTATTAATATTTAGGGGCGACATTTTATTTTAAGGATCTGTAAGTCGTATTTATGGATATACATAATCATATTTGGTAAATTATAGTTATATAGCCTTAAAATAAACCGGATAATAATTATCATAGTACTTATAAGTTGACTTAAAAAGTAGTTAAAAAGGGTAAAATAAACCAAAACTCACCAAATATTAACTTCTTTTTAACCCAAAGGGGCGCGACGTTTAGGATACCCTGTATGTTATATTTTACAAATGAATATTTTTCGTTTTACCATTTATATAATATACTAAGATCAAAAATAAATAGCACCCTGTCTCTCTATCTAGTCAATAAAATTGTATTCGTAAGTTAAAGAATTAATATCTCAAGCAGCATTTTTAGTAAAAGCGTAGAGCTTTAAGGCAATATTACTTAATTTAAGTAAATACTTTGTTAAATTAACCTTAAAAATTTACTTTGAAGTAAAACTTTTTTTAAAGTTCAACACTTTAAAGTATTATGAGGGACGTAATTTTTTCGAAAGAAAATTACTTATAAGTTTATTTCACCTAAAGAAAAATTTAACGGTAATTTTAACGTCAGAATTTTTACTTAATGGTAAATGTTACTCATAAGTCATAATTTTACGATATTAAGACCACTTTGAAACCGTAAATAATTACTATTCGCCTGGTATTTTTTAGGGTTATTGGTGGTAATAAATACTATTAAACAATGAAAAATAAGCTTAAAGTGAAAAATAAAACTTTATGGAAAATTAATGAGTTTTTTAAGATTACTTATCTAAACATTTATATAATATTTTTTCATAAATATTTTTATAAAATATAAAAAGGAAAGTTTTAGTAATTAAAAAATGATTAAAAATAAATGATTTTTTAAAGATTTTATAAAATTTTGTTGGTTTTAAGTTTTGTTGAATTTTTTACCCAAGCAATAATTTTTCTTAAAAATTTTTAAGATGTACAAGGTGTGTTCAGAAAATAACGGGAATTGTTAAATCTCGCGGGTTCGGAGGGTCCGGTTGTCATAAAATTTTCTTTATTATGTTGGTATATATGCCCCCGAAGTATTATAAAAACTTTAGCTGTTTTCATTGTTTACTTTGTCTGTGGCAGCCGCCAAGGTTAGACGTGTTTTATGAGCTCGGCGATTTATCGTTCGTTAAAAGAAATGGATCAAAGAATTTGTATCCAATTTTGCTTAAAAAATGAAATAAATTCTGTGAAATGTTAACAAAGGCCTATTGTGAGTCTTCTATAAGTAAAACAAGAGTTCACAAGTGGTATAAGAGTTTCCAAGATGGCCCTGAAGACGTTGAAGATGTCGAACGCCCCGAACGCACAAGCACATTAAAAACCGATAAAAACATGGAAAAAGTGGAAGAAATGGTTATAAACCATCAGAGAAGTCGCTGATGATGTTGGTATATCGATTGGCTCATCCCATAAATTTTTTCGAATGTTTTGGTTATGAAACGCGTGGCAGCAAAATTTGTTCTAAAATTGTTAAATTTTGAACAACATTTTTGGCCAAAAACAATACTGTAATGATGCCCCAGCCTCCATATTCGCCAGACATGCCTCTGTCTGACTTTTTCCTATAGGAATATATTCCCAAAAATAAAGAGAACCTTAAAGGGCCGTCGTTTTGCAAGCATAGATGACATTAAAAGCGCATCGCTGAAAGAACTAAAGGCTATCCCAAAGATCGAGTTTTAGAAGTGTTTTGTGTATTGGAAGAAGAGCTGGCACATGTGCATAATATCCAGTGGGGACTATTTTTAAGGCGACAACATTAATGTAGACGAATAAATAAATATTTGTTTCAAAAAAACGAAAATTCCCGATATTTTCTGAACACACCTCGTATCATGCCTATTTTTATCAATAAAAAAATATTATTGGTTTTGACAATTTAAGTTATATTTTTTAATTTTACTCTAGGGTGGCCTTTATTACTTTGTAAGTACCATTTTGTAAAATATAAATTAAAAGAACAAAGAAATTACGAATGTCAATGTTTTAGAAAGAGAGAGCAAACCGTTAGTAATTATAGCGATATTTTTACGTAAATTTGTGGTATTTATATTGTTTTTATTACATTATTCTCAGTAGACCAAAAAGGTTATTATGTAGGTAAAATAACGAAATAAAACATTTTTTGAATCCAGACCTTTATAAAACCGTTTTGGTTAACAAATACTTTAAAGTTGACTTAGTAGTAAATTTGTAGTAATTTAAACTTAAAATGCTGCTTGGGATACGTTATTTGAGACATAAAATTAATAAAATAATTACCACAAATTCTGGTACAGAAAGTTTTTAAATATTAGAGAAATTAACCTCTCGGTAGGACACTGCTCTTTAAATACTCGTGAGCTCTTAATGAAATTAGAAGAGATTGCTGGCGCCGGCAAATAATATAATACAGCTTTAAATCAATCAATCAAAACGTCAGATAGATACAAGATTAACAGTCAATCATTGACTAGTCTTAATTAATTTGTAGTAAATAGTAAACACAATGATTGCGGGAGTAGTTCAATGGCTTTTGAATTAATTTAAAGACTGATGTTTTTTTACGTTGCTATATATGGTATTCCCTTTTTTTTGGAATGCAAAGTCGCGACAATTTTGGAACTAGGCGCATTAGAGAAATAGTACCTAATAGTATAAGTAGTCATATTTCTATGGGCCCCATATAACTTAATAAATTTCTTAATTTGTAGGATGTTCAAAAAAGTGCATGGGCTGAATTTTCAACAGTGGAGCAGAGAATACAAGATCAAGATTCACTAATAGAAACAATGAAAGAAGAACACGAAAAGGAGATTCAAGAGTTACGAGAAATAATCAAAGAACAGCAAAAAGAAAAAAGCAGTATTGCAAACAATGAGACCATTTCTGTACCCCATTATTTATTGTATAGAGATAAGCATAAATAAATTAAATATGAATGATAATTTTTGTACCTAAATTTGTATGGCCTTTACCTGTAATGTAAAATAGAATATTGATTTGTACAATATATTATTATAAATATACCTAAATATAAACTAAAACGTAATAGTTAAATTAAAAAATTTAAACAAAAATATATTTATTTTTATTTTATGAACATTGATGTAAAAAGGTAAAAAGTGTTTTTCGTAGGCCCCGACGAGATTCGAACTCGTGATCTCCTGTTTACTAGACAGGCGCTTTAACCAACTAAGCCACGGCGCCTTCTTTAAAATAAGCAAAAAACAGGTTACTTAAACGAATTTTATAAATGTAGGCAATGTGAAATTTATTTTAAAATAATTAGGAAAACTAAAAATTACGAAACAACCTTCTACAAAACCTCATATACCTATATTAGCACGTGATGTACAAAACATAAATATTGGACTGGCATCTGCTTCCTATTATGGCCTATTAAGTAATTTAATAGAAAAATATGTAAATAACTTTTTTTTTAAAGATTCAAAAAATTATACCCACAGTTGCAAACCAAAAAATTAAATAATTTGTAAATTTACTTAAAAAAAATAAAAAAAAAGTTATAGCAGAGCGTGGTTTCGATCCACGGACCTCTGGGTTATGGGCCCAGCACGCTTCCACTGCGCCACTCTGCTCTTGTAATAATCTAAAAAACTGCATGTATATAAAGGCGAATTATTTGCAAACTTAAAATAAAATTGCATCATTACACAATTTTTTTTTATTTTTGTGAAAATTCTTAATTATTTTTGCTTTTTTTAAGTAAGTTTTAGGTTAGTAAACATTATAATTATTTAAATTTAACAAACAAATTGTTTGAAACAATAGAGTAAATTATATTATAAACCGTATAGTACTACTACCTACTAGGTATATTATATGACACTTGTAATAATATAATGTTTTTTTAGAATTTAAAGCCAATTTAATTTGACATTTAATCTGACATCTGACAGCTGTCAAGCGATTTTAACCTCACTTTTTCTCAATCTGACATCTGTCAAATGGTTTACCAATTTTAATGTAAAGCCAACTTCAGCACGTGTTGTTATTACATTTTAAAGACATACTCGTCTGAGGTAGTAACAGCATACTAAAAATATCAGTTCACTAAAGTAAATTAATTAATTTAATAAACACATGTGTTGGATGCATCCAAAGCTATCGAATCAAATATAAAATATTATTAAATATTAAAAGAAATAATTTTTATAACAATTTATGAAGGTGTTACAAAAATTGATTCTATCCTCCGTGAATCTGTTTTTGCTTTATATTTTATGCAACGGATGGCGCTTTAGTCATTTTAAATAAGCAAAAACCTCTGTTTACATAGATGCATGTGATTCCTAATTTAGGAATCCTAAAGGTCAGTTAGAATTTATATGCAGATGAGTGTTGCTGTTTTATAATTCAAAAGTTTATTAATTTGCTATTTAAAAACCTATCCACCGTGATGTGTAATAACTCAGTAAGTAGATTTTTATGTATGTACAATTGTATTTTTAAAAAATATTAAGGTGTCAAAAGATACAAGAACTTATTTCAAATATACAAAGGGGTGTTTAAAAAAACATACGAAATCCTAACCTCCGTGAAGCTATCTTCCGTGAAGCTCTAATATTCAAAATGTATGATTTCTTAAAATTCTTGCATTGGTGCAGAACCACTTATGTTATGTTATTACTAGACCTGGTGGCTTCCCAAAAAACAAATTCTAGACTAACAGTGATACAACCAAAAATAAATAATTTTTTACTAGTTTTCCCTAACACAATTTTTTTGCGAACAAGAAAATTATAAAAAACTTTTCTTTTCTTTATTCATTCTAAATTCATGGTTGTCTATTTTCATTCACAACAAGAACATAAGTTGTGTGACTTTATTACAAAAGCAGTAAAATTAGCTGATTGTCCAAAATTGTCCATGACCCATTCAAACATTTTAATGTAAAAAGGTGAAACCATGGCTTGCAAACACTCCCCTTAATTTGTTATGCACATTTTTAGGAATGAACGTTTGCTTACGTCATAAAATAATGTAATGTCGCCTGTTTCTTATGTTTTTTTTTATTAATCGACGTTACTTGCATCCTAGGTCAAATTGTTTAAAGCGGCGCTTTACCCACTAAATGCTGTATAATTTTTTAATAAACAAACATTTTTCTTAACAATCAAATTTAAGATTTATTACAAAATTACTACCTATTGTGTTAAATTTTGAAAGCAAGTTTATTTTCCAAGAAATTAGTATTATTATTATTAGTATTATTGTTTTTTGTTTGACACAACATATTTAAAAGAAAATTAATTTTATACTTAAATTTAACCCCCTTTATTTTTACTCTTCATGTAGTCTCTCAATATTGCCCTATTATATTTAACAACCTACAAAAAAACAACTTTCAGAAATAAGTGCAGTTGCAACATTTGTATATCGCAGCAATATTATTTATTAATTTCTAGGAAGTTAACAATAAAAAAATGAAGTGGCAGCGCAGGCAGCACTACTTTATCAACGCGGTAGGACTATATCCGCTGACGGCAACACCGCATGCAATTCTGGTCAGTCTTGCGGCATCGCAGTCGGCTGTACGTTGAATGCACGGCTTCCTATAAACATTCGAATTTTTCGTAAAAATTACGACTAAACAACCTACAAAAATTTAAAGTGTGAATGAAAAAACGTTGCCAACCATCTAAGCTTTAACCAACCTAAAAATAATCACGGGATATGTGCTTAATAATTGAAAAGTGCTAGTTTGAGTATTGATTTTTATTCCTAACCTAAAAGTGGAGAGTGATTCACCCCACATTTTACTACCCTTCAGCGAGTTTTTAGTGTTATTTTTAATTTCTTCGCGTGTGCCTGACAGTAGGGAACTAACTATAGTTTTATTACTACATTGTTTTATACGAATTACGAGTGCAAACGTATGTGATAACTCGGAAAGTGCTTTGTTTACACAAACAGAAGGATTTAGAGCTATGATGGTTTATAAATTTTGTGTCAAGCCTTGGTAAGTCAACATTGTATTTATAGCAATCGTTTTTTATGAAGTGCAAAAAACCCAATGAATTTCTTTACGTGATTCACGCCGGATATTTTCAAACGACACGTTTTGAACAGTGCTGTAGCTAAAATTCTACACATCGTATTTTTATTTAACAAGTTTTGTGAAAAAATTTAAAAAGCGTCTTCTTAAACAGTATTTTTTATTTGGAATACATTGATTAAAACAAACTGAACTGGTAAAAGATTACCTTTAGGTAATTTTAATTTATCATAAAATTTAATTTAATTATTTACTACAGATTGTCAAAAAATTTAAAATTATTAGAAATATGATATTCCAACGTAATAAAATGTTAAAATCTACACCACTGTTTCTATACAATGTGCTAATTTTATTTTACTAGGTACCTAGAATACTTACTGACATTGCCAGAACATTAACATTTAAAATTTGATTATCTGACCTGGAGCGCCATTAAACTCTTATCAATAAATAACTAGCATGAATTTACTTTTTTTTTCGAATTGATAAAACGAGTACCTAGTAGTACTTGATGTAATAGGTACCTACTTGATGATTAAATTGAAACTTCCATTGTATTTTCTTTAATTTTTGAAAGCTTCAAATGAAAACCAAATCGAAAAAAATATCCAAGGCCAACATTATTTTTAATTTATTATATAAACAACCTGATTCCTCCAAAAACTAGAAAATTCCACTATAAATATAAAAAACAGTTGTAGTTTTTTTCCGCACAAAATAATTATTTTAATCCCACAAAACTTCCCATGATATTGAATGGTCTCATTAAATGGTCGGCACTTTCATTTAATTAAAAAAAGCATTACCAACTGTAAAACGTGTCGTTTCCTGTTAATCTGTCAAAATTAAGGAAACAAAAGAAGTTCGTAGAAACTACTATACCAACCAACTTTAATTTAGTTTTAATATTGTTAATTTTAAGGTTTTTATCTTCGTGTTCTATAATTTAAGCTTTATTAGGCTCAACGCTCACTACTAAAGTATTCGATTATCTCCTTGGCTGTAAAAATAATTTAGACTAGGTACCTAATCAGGTGAAGTTTTTTACATCCTAGTCAGGACCAATAACAAAATCGATTACTGATGGGGAACTTTGAGCTTAGCCTTATGACATAGGTAAATAAGTATTATCGCTATTTTCGAGACAGGTATATTGATTTTATCATAAAAACTTGATAAACGTCAAAAATTGTTTACTGGTGCATATTTGTTTATATAAACCTCGATAGATTAGGTATATATTTATTATTATTATTATTATTAAACTGTATGAATAATTTTTTCAAGAAAATACCAAAGGAAAAAAATACGATAAATTCTCAATTTATTTGCTTTTAGCAAGACATCGATATCTTTTATAGGGAATTGATATATTGGGTCTGCCATTTACACAAATATTTGCCTTATCGATTGAAATGACCCGACAATTTTACGACCACAGTAAAACATATACAGGGTGATATAAAAATGCATAATAAGTATGGATAATTAATATTAAAAAAAAATCCGTTGAACTACCTACTAAGTTTTGCCTCATTTCTTCTTGTAATGGTGCATACCTTAAACTAATCAGTAATAAAATCATACATAAAGTATTAAGTGTTTATTAAGGTTTCAATGAAAATTGTAGGATACGCTTTCTGTGGTCAAATTTTTCAATATTTTATTACTTAAGTGTGAAATTTTGTAGATAGTTTTCAATTTCATAAGTAATATTATGTTCGCATACGTTCAAAAATGATTTATTATACAGGGTAAATAAAAAATGTGTAACAGTAACTGATAGGTGTATTAAATGTTAGACTTTAAAAAATCATGTTTCTTAAAATAATTTCACTGAAAAAAAATTAATTTAATTTAATTACTTTAATTTAATTAATTACCGATTAGTTACTGGCTAGTTACTGTTTGTAACTTTAACTTTAACTTAAAAATTTGAGATAGTTAGATAGGTAAATTTTGTAAATTTTAGCAATTTTAAGAATTTTGAAAATATTCACT